CAAATACCGTCCCATAACGTGTCTATTTACCATATACAAGACACTAACATCCATTTTGAGCGCGAGAATCATCGTCACCTGCAGGGCTATTCACAATCGTCTCGGAAAGCGAAATCGACTCGGATTCGATAACTTCTCGCACCGAAACCAATAAACGCTATTAACATTTAACGTTCGCACAAAGGTCACTTAGATACATCCTATAACTATTGTATCGTCATTTAGTTACATGCATTTACGAATTTTGTAGATAAATAGGCTTTTGTATTTTTTTAGAGTAACGCCTGAACAAAAACATAATGCAATATTTTGGAGTTAGCCATTGATATCGAATATAAAAAATATATAATTTAACTATATAATAAATAACAAAAAAACTGAGATATGTCTCGTTTCTGTCGGGTCTGCGTTTTTTTCTATGGGGCGTGACCGTACTTCTTTGACGTTTGTTTTCGATAATTGTGACAGTTTGCATCGGAAACTTTACGAGAGCTCTGAGGCTGGCGAAAACTTTTCGAATATTGATGATTAGAAGAGATAAATAAACCCTTTTAATTATAAGGTAGGTAACAAAAATTAATTACAATTATCTATAAGACGTATTTTCATATAATTACTTCAATATTTGCACTTAATCGTAAAGCTGAACCCAGACCCGACAGAAACGAGACATATCTCAGTTTTTTTGTTATTTATTATATAGTTAAATTATATATTTTTTATATTCGATATCAATGGCTAACACCAAAATATTGCATCATGTTTTTGTATAGGAGTTACTCTAAAAAAATACAAAAGCCTATTTATCTACAAAATTCGTAAATGCATGTAACTAAATGACGATACAATAGTTATGGGATGTATCTAAGTGACCTTTATCCGAACGTTAAATGTGAATAGCGTTTATTGGTTTCGGTGCGAGAAGTTATCGAATCCGAGTCGAATTCGCTTTCCGAGACGATTGTGAATAGCCCGGCTGAACTCGAATCAGGTGATGTCGGGCGCCCAAAACGGATGTCGGGAACCCAAAATGGATGTCGGGCGCCCAAAATGGATGTCGGGGCAGTGGTCGTGGAACCAAGGAACCACTCCTTATTGACGCGGTCAAGGTGGTTAAATGCAACCGTCGGAACCTCTCCGTTGCCTGGATAAACTATAAAAAGGCATTCGACTCGGTACCTCATACATGGCTGAAGAGGGTCCTCAAACTGTACAAGGTTAACTGTACAGTTCGAGACTTCCTCGGGCAGTGTATGGGGTTGTGGAGTACGATCCTTTGTTATCTAGGCGAGCGGAGGAAGGATGCGGAGAACCATATAAGGATAAGAAGGGGTATCTTCCAGGCCGATTGTTTGAGTCCAATCTGGTTCTGGCTCTCTCTGAACCCTTTCGGTACCTTACTGGAGGGTTTCGGGAAGGAATTTTAGCTTCGGAAATCCCCTCCCGAGCTGGGGACGGATAAGTGTGCGGTCCTCCATGTCGAAAGGGGTAGGGTTGCTAACTCTGAGGGCATAGACTTACCTATGCCCATCAATATAAAGACCCTATCCGAGGCTGAAACATACCGATACTTAGTTATGTCACAGAACATAAGTATTGATGAGGCGGACACGAAACAGTCAGTTTAAGATGTGTTTTATGCACGTTTGACAAAAGTGCTTAACAGTCTATTGTCGGGTGTTAATAATACACACGCATATAACGGTTGGATCATGCGTGTTATCATGTATACCTTTGACATACTCAGGTGGACTCAGACCGAACTGAACGCTCTGAATACAAAAGTCCACACTATTATGATTTCCCACAGTATGCATCATCTGAAATCGTCAGTGATGATCGCCATCTCCAGATAGTAGCGGATGGTGGCGGTAGATGGTAGGTAGTAGGGTAGTTCCCAGGGCTTAACCTAGCTAACGATGGCTACTTATTTGTAAATATACAAGAAATGTTAGTATAATCTAGCGGCAGTATGGGTCTACGACGAAGATCATTTTTAAGTTATAATAATTAATCTCCCGAACGCCAAAATGGAGCAGTCGATTTGCCTCTGGGTCGAAGTTATATTCACCTAATCGGACAATTTGTCCTAGGTCAACATAGTCATCAGCAACTTCCAGCGCAGTGTTACCACCAACTACCGGCAAATAATTGACACAGACATTAGAAATGATCTTTGTCTTGTCAATGTTAATCTTAAGGTCTCTTTTGGGGATACTATTGAGGTCATTAAACGCAGTAACATGGGTCCTTTAACGATTTTTCCATTCTCTTATGTACCAGATATAAAATATCCAGACCGACGATGGAGAGCCGAGTGAAAGGTGCCAGACTTCTGATCTTATGATCACCAATCCACGTGAAAGTTTTTACCATTTATATAGTTATCTTGGGATGGATTTCATCCACTGTAAAAATATAACGGTGGTAGAGCCACGCGGCAGTTTATGCTGTTGCACGTATGGGCTGGCTCGAGCCGGGTTGGTACCACGACCTCACAGAATACCGGGTTGAAGTAGAAGCTCTGCTTCTGCGTTTCGTCTGGTGAGTGCAGGTGGCCGGAGGCCCAATCACCCCCCCCCCCCCTCCCCCCGCCCCCCAATCAACATGATAGCGGAATTACACCAAAGACCAGCACCCCTGGAGAATCCCTCGCTGAGCATCCACGACCATGTTATTCCACTCCTGAGCGTGGGTGCTCAGGCTGCCCCGCGTATTCTGGGGGGGGGGGGGGGAGGGGGCAAAATTCCGCTCAAAACCATAACTGCGCGGGGCAAACTGAGCAACAATACCAACGCCATGCTATCCGTGAATTTCTTCAACATCAGGGGACTTCACTCGAACCTAAACGCCGTCCACTACCATCTTTACCATCAGCGATTTTTCCGGACCGATACGACTTAGGGACCTTCAAGAAAAGAGCCTACTCCTTTTTAAAAGGTCGGCAACGCATCTGCAATTCCCCTGGTTCCCCTGGTGTTGCAGTTGTTCATGGGCGGCGGTAGTCACTTACCATCAGGTGAACCGCATGCCCGTTTGCCCCCTCTCCTATAAAAAAAATAATGTGCACGTTTGTTATTTCAAAGTTCGATAACCTCATGACATAATCTAAAATTGATTTACGGCACAAATTCCCTGAAACTTGTTCTGGTTTTCCCCAGTTGTAATAATGTCAGGACAAATAAATGGATTAAAATAGTTTTATGCGGGAAATCACGTGTATTTTTTTTAATCGCAAGTTGAAGTTCGTCATCCGTAGCAAAAATGGCATTAACGCAAAAAATGAGAGAAGATTTTAAAGCAATGATTTTTTATAACTTCTAAAGTTCACTTTCTCTGCAAGATTGCACTACTCGTCTTCAAAATAATTTTGGAAGGAAAGCACCTTATCTGAGCTTCGTAAAGCAATGGTGCGCATAATTTGAATGTGGCCATGCTTACCTGCATGATGAAATTCGTGAAGGTCAACCCTAAACCGCGATCACTGAAGAAAAAAATGTTACGGTTGTCAAAACGTCGCTCAATTGTGGCAACTATGGGAAATATCCCACCCTTCCAGGCAATCTATGAGAGAAAATGAGGAATGATGACATAAAAAGACTTAAATTTTGATAATTGGCGACAGGAAAAAGATAGTAACAGTTCGCGTTTACAAGAAAATACACTTTTTTGTTATAGCATTAGCTTCACCGTTCATGAATACTAGACAAAGAGGACGAAAGAAAATTCGGAGAAGGTTGAATTGCACAAGCATCGTATCAGTTCATTCAAATCAGCAAAGCTTTACAAATAGATCTTACGAGTTTACAAAAACGTGAAGCGAGCGCACGCTATTATCATTTATTTTTATATCCTTGTTATTACAATGTGCATAGTGGAAATTTCAAAAACAACAAACAATAATGCGGATGAAGAGGACTTGTATTAATTTTATTAATTTTATTAAAATTATTCAAATCAATTTCAAAACAAACTTATGACTATAAAAGTTCTAAATTGTGTTTAATACTTCCTTTTTTCTGATCTTACAATATAATAAAACTTAATATAATTATTCTTCTTTCTGGTCTGAAAGAATTTGTGTCTGGTCTGAAAGAAGATATAGTGACAAAAATTGAGAAAGGTATGCTGAGATGATTTGGCCATGTCGAGAGAATGAATGAAGAACGATTGACGAAAAAGAGTGTATAAGGCGAGTGTGAATGAGTGTTGGAAGGGGTAGACCTAGGCGGACGTTTCTAGACCAAGTCAGAGACGTCTTGAAAAAAGGCCAGGTCAAGAGTACCCTAAACCGTAGAGCATGATGAAGGGAATAATGAAAGTGGACGAAGCGAAACAAGTATGTAAGGATCGTAGCAAGTGGAAAGAAGTGGTCGCTGCCTACCCCTACGGGAAAGAGGCGTGATTATATGTATGTTATATATGTAATATAATTATACTCATAATTTTAATGTTTTTTTTATAATAATTTCCTGAAAAAACTGTGTTGAAATTTATTACTTTGCTTTTGTCTAAACTATTTAAAGGTAACAATAAAACAGTTAAAGTAGATTTAATTTTATATCTTAAATAAAAAATGGTCTAACAAGTCAGCAGTATATGTTACTATGACATTACTTTTGAGAAATAAACAACAATAATCACGTAATACCTATTATTGCAACCACATCCTAAGTGAATTTTCAGCATTTTTTTTGTATTTTACCATAGTGCTCGCTTTCGACTACTAAATGCAAAGGTACATAAAAATCAGATTCTATAAAAAATTGCCTTCATTTGAAGAGAAAATGAAATAATACAAATCTGATACATTCTTTTTTTGAAAGGCGAACTTTTTGTCGAAATTTCTAGTCCTTTTTTTAATTATTTTGTAGTCTAGTAATACTATTTATTTTGTCGAAAATCTGAGGGAATAAGAGGAAAACCTAGTTAAGTATAAATTGTCCAGCAAGTTATAAATAAAATCAGTTATAAGAGGAAACCGAAATCGTGCCTGTAAAATGTTGATTTTTGCGACGGTCTTCGCCGTTTTTTATATCAGTGCTGCAAGTACTTTAAGTGAGTTCATATTTTTATTAACGTAAATATATATTATATTTTAAAACTAATTTAACGTTAATAAAAAGAAAATAAAAACTGTATGAGTGATTAATTTGTAGAAGAAAATACATTATACTTGTGTTGTGACAATGATGCCAATTTGCCATGCTGCAGGCAGGCGTGAGTGTGTATATTGGTAGTATAGTCGTTGCACGAATGGGTCGGCTCGACCGAGAAAGGACCACGCTCTAACAGAATACCAGCGTAAAATAGCAGTTAACGGTGTTGTATTTCGTATGGTGAGTGTAGAGAACCTTATTTACTGGAAAAGAGGCATTCCATCTTAGTCCTCACGGCTGACAACGCAGCTGCATTTTGATTCGTCTATGGGCCACAGCAACCAGTTACCAACAGGTGGACTGTGTGTTCGTTTGTCACCTTATTCTATTAAAAAAAATCAACTGAACATAGGTCTCCCAATAGACTGCTTGATAAGGGTTATTTGCCATAGTTGCCACGCTTGGCAGCCGGGACGACAATCGCAATTTTTGAATATTTCAGTTGTTATTATGAAGACGCTGCAACACATCTTCTGGTTGGTTGGTGGTCCAGGCGACAGAGGAAAACACTCTGTCGCCTCTTCCGACACCCACGGGATGATACCGGGTATGAATATTCTTTCACCGCCACTACATGTTCACTTACCTTAAAATAATATAAACTAAATTTGTAAATATAGTATATCGTCCCACCTCTGTTGTCCAGACAGTCCATTGCTGGATACAATTTAATTATGATGACGATGAAGATTCGAAATAAATTTTTTATAAGACAAACTTACTGAAGACGACTGACTTGTTGGTAAGCGTCAATTCTGCAGTCCGTGGACATTTGCAATCAACCTCAAGCAAATAAGGCTACAGATACGTTGTCACCTCTGAGGACTGAGATGGAATATCTCACAGACAGGAATTATACTGGCTCTACCGGAACACGGTTTTTGACGGTAGAAATATGTGTATAGTAGTGTGGTACCTCTAGGCAGTTTTTCCCTTGGTGTTCCAACATTATGTACTTATGTAAGTATGTACGTAAATATTATTTTAAAATCAATAAAAGAAATCGTATCTATTTTAATAAGCTAATAAAATTTAATATTTATTACAGAAAAGTGTGATGACTGTATTCCTATAAATCAATGTGGGCCCGCATTGCAGCGGGTTCTTGTCGACAGAAGTCCGGAAACAAAGAGGCTAGTGAGAAACGCTTATTGTGGTCATGATAAATTACCGAAGGTGAACTAAATTTATGAACAGGTCATTAAAAGAGAGGGGAATGAAAGTGAACGCAAGTAAGATGGTATGATAAGTATAAAAGGGAAGTTGATTGAGCAAGTGGATGAGTTTGTGAGATGTAGATATACTAAGGATACAGAACGACGAGTGAACGCAGGGAATAGAGTAACTTCACTTTATTATGGGAAGTCAGAATGTGTCAAAAAAGCACGTATGGCAATTCACAATTCTATAGTAGTAGTAGGTAGTGAAAGTTGGGAATGGCAGAAGAAGCACGAGAGTAAAATAAATGCTATAGATATGGGGTCATTAAGGAATATTGTAGAGCTGAATTTGAATGACAGGGTGAGAAACCGTGTTGTAAGAGAAAAGTGTGGTTTGCAAAATGGTGTTATGACTAGGATTAAGAAAGTAATGTTTTGGTGATTTGGTCATGACCAAATTGGCGATATATTGAAGAAGAGTACCTTTAACCGACGAACATGTATGTGTAGGTATATGGGTGTAAAAGAGAGAGGTGTATCAGGATCGTGCAAAATGTAGGTCCGTAGTCTCTGCCTACCCCTCTAGATGACAGGCGTGAGTGTGTATGTATGTACGTATATGAAGGAAATTACAAACCAAATTAATTAGTACTTATTATGATTAGTAAGCAATTAACAATTACGATTCTCATTCATTATTATTCTTCCTATTGAAAGTGTCGAAAGAGAATTTACATAAGTGAGATCAATAAATGGTATACGTAGTGTTTGTACTAGTCATATAATGTCTCCTAGGCCGAATTTCGATCACGGCGGCAAGTACCAACGGACAGTAACCATCTGCGCAGGACAGCATTATAGTGCCCGAGTGTACGCAGGCACAGGGGTATTTTTTATTCCCTCACTCTCACGGTAAACCGATATGACCGCCGGAGATATATCAGGCGCAGGACGACACCAGCTTTTTGTGCTTTTCGAGGCACGGGGTGAAAAACTCAATAACCGATTTTTTTGCCTGACCCAGGATTCGAACTCTGATCAACAGTAGCGCTTACGACCATTAGACCAACGAGGATGTCGCTACTATATTATTATTACTCCTTTATGTACTCTTAAGTTGTTTAAAATTTTACATTCAGATTTGCTATACTTACAGATTTGCTGCTCAGAGTTTGAAATAACGCCGTCTATTCTTCAAAGGAACAATGAATATGATGATAGTGATGATATCGAAGATCATCCCAATGTCAAGCTTCTATCGGAAGATTGCGGTGAAATTGAAGGAAATCGCATTTTTGGTGGAAGTACAGCCTCTCTGTACGAGTTTCCTTGGATGGTTCTTATCTCTTACAGAGGTAAGTTTTAACAAATATTGCAAATTCAGTTAAATAAGTAACAATAAATGGATAATTTTCATAGTTTTACTATAGTCGTACTTAGACTAGCTCTCATTTCTCCACAGGATTTTGGAACAGGGAAGCGTTCGCCACGACTCTCAAATGATAAAAACTTTAAGATAATTATTATTCACTAATATATAAAAGTAAAGAAAGGTTGCAGCCTATGAACTCCCATCATCTGTTTAAATTTCCTTCTGCCTCCTCATACGACACCCACGGGACGATATGGAGTGGTGGATATGTTTACACCGTGGGTGGTGTACATGGTTAACACCGCCACTACACGGTTCAATATAATATACTTAAATATTTATTCTGCTCCTAAACAACTTGATTGATTGTGATGTGTGTCTTTGTGTGTTTCTCTCTGCGTGTGTTGTGTCTGCCTCTGTGAGTGTGCGTGTGTGCGTGCTTGTGTGTGCGTGCGTGTGCGTGCGTGCGTGTGTGTGTACACGTACGTGAGCGTGTGTGCATGTGTACGAGTGCGTGTGTGCGTGAGCGTGTGGTCGTGTGCTTGAGTGTGCGTGTGTGCGTGTGCGAGTTCTTGCACGTGTGTGCGTGTATTCGCGCGCGTGTGTGGGTATGTGCGCGTTTGGGTTGTACGCTAGTGCGTTCATATGTGTGTTTGTGTGTGTGTGTGTGTGTGTGTGTGTGTGTGTGTGTGTGTGTATGGGTGCACATGTTCGTGTGCACGTGTGCGCGGATGCGAGTGTTGTGCGCGTGTGCGCATGAGTGTGCGCTGCGCTTGTGCAAATTGTGTGCGAATTGCTTAAGACATTTAATTTTAAATTAAGATATTAAATGCAATTCCCCTGGTGTTGCGGTTGTTCATGGGCGGCGGTAGTCACTTACCATCAGGTGAGCCGCATGCTAGTTTGCCCCCTCTCCTATAAAAAAAAAAGTAAAAGGCTTACATACACTTAGCTAGTTCGTATATTTCTTTTTATTTTCAGTTGGACGGTCATTGAGGTTCGCATGTGGTACCTAAATAAATTCAAAATATGTATTAACGGCAGCACACTGCGTCAAGAACAAGAACATCGCCGGGGTCAGAGTTGGGGAATATGATATCAGTACACGTATTGACTGTACAGGAGAAGAAGAAATTCGTGTTTGTGAAGATAGAATTCAGGTAATCAAAGGATTTCCTTATACATTTCTTTGTTGGTTGTGATAGCTCATCGAGGCAACTCGAGTTTCATCCCCGCGGCGCTTAATAAAATTGTAACTGCATTTTTAGGTGTTGATTTACCACATGATCAGTAGTGAAGTTAACATCGTGAGGAAACCTGTTTATGTTTGTGTGAAAAATAAATTTTTCTAGGACATGAATTCGACCAATGCACATTGGAACACTGCAGCGGGCCTACTGCCTTATTATCCTTACATAAATGAGAGGAGGCCTGTGTCCAGCTCAGAAGAGTGTACTAAGTGTTCAGAAGAGTGTACTAAGTGTTGTATATCTAACAACATTGCCTTTATCTTTATACGTAAAAGTCCACCGCTGGTCATGGTAAATAAGATTTTTTTTGACAGAATGTGAGTTACAAACGAGCACACAATCCAACTGATGGTAAGTGGGTGCAGTGGCCCATAGATATCTGCATCTATTCTTAAACAAGAATCAAAATGCAGATGCGCTATCATCCCTAAAGACTAGGATGGAATGTCTTGTATCCAATAAAAAGGGTCTTCGGTTCTCTACACTCACCACACGAAACAGCAGCATTGAGCTGCAATTTTACGCCGGTATTCTGGGAGAACGTGCTCCTTCCCGGGTTGAGCCGACCCATTCGTACTCCAACTGTAATATAGCTGCTGTATGTCTCTACCATCATGGTTATACCTTCATTTATAAGAGTTTTTATTTATAAGAGACAACGAGAGTTTGGCATTATATTTCATAATCACTTCTTTTGACACGTACAGGACGATATGGAATATGAATTATCTTAAACTGTATTGTTTACAATATAATAGATTTTAGAGAACTTTGAACTTAGTTACTTTAAAATGCAGTTTTAAAGTTCAATACAATTGATTCGAATGCGAACCTCCTACGTTTAAACAATCCTAGAGCCAGCCCGATGTATCATCTTTTTGTACTGGGCGAGTTATAAAATTACTGTATTGTCATCGTCTGTAAAATTAAAAATTAATAATTTTTAATTTGGAAAGTGGCAGTTAAAAAATTAAGAAATACTTAAAATTACATACAATAATGGGTTAAGTTAATAGAAAGCCTGTAAAAACCTCCAATCGTGAAATATCCATGAACCAAGAAAAATAAAGTTCTAATATTTTTTTATAATCGTCATCATTACAGATTACAGTCCCTCACAAGTCTACTCTATTGCTGAGCATAGGCCTTCCTCAAGGACATAATCTTGAATGTGGCAAGTTTGATTCATTTTAAAACTCCTCTTTCTATTTATTTTAGGATAGACGTGTTGCAGAAATCATCTGTCATGATGAATATGATGTCGTTCGAATGGCGATAAACGATATTGCTTTACTTCGCCTGAGCCGACCCGTTGACTTAACTTATAGTAAGTTTTTAAGTAACTTAATAATATTTAGGGTTATTTTTCAGAATAGCCAAATTTTAAACTAACTACAAATATATAAATAATGGTAAACCATTATGGCGGTTCTTAAAAAAACTAGTAAAATAAGGCTTTACTTTTATTTGACATTATCCCAAATTGAATGTGATTTATGGGCAACATCTACGCGTACGCGCGCTCCTCTTTGTGTGCGTAGTAAAATAGCAGGCGTTAGATATTTATGAATGACAGTCATTTAAAATAATGTATTTATTGTAACGAATTCTGAATTCAAAAGGTAAAATAGATAAAATGTCTTTATATTGCTTATTATGAACCTTCTCTGCAAATTTGGCCAGTTATTGCAAAATTACCCTGTATATAAAATAAAATGCTATCCGTTAGTCTCGCTAAAACTCAAAAAGGGCTCGATCGATTTTGATAACAGAATTGTGTGTTTGAATGGGTCTTTAGACGGTTTGGATTTACTTTTGGACCCGGTAGGTGGCGCTGTTATCGAGATACAGAAATCACACATGCGAAGCCAAGTCGAATCGCTGGTAGAAAATAAATTAAATAAATTTTTAATAATGCTTTCTTTCCTTACAACCAAAGTTTTTAGCGAGATTGGATAGTTTGTGTAGATTATACTTGTAAAAAAATAATAAAATATTGTTATATAATACAATATAATATACAAAGTGACCGGTAATTAATGGATAACTTTGAGACCGGTCATGGTAGAACTATGTTTTAAATATGCAAATATGTCACTCAAGATCTTTCTTGGTCATGTGGTGCCCCACAGGGCTGCCCTGGGGCCAACCCTATTTTTAGTATATATAAATTGGTTAGCCGAACGAGATCTTGAACGAGCAGACATAACCATGTGTGCGGATGACACAGTAATGCTATTCCATGATGGTACCTGGAAAAAAACCAAACACTTGACTGAAAACTTGACAGTTACGTGAAGTGGCAAATTGGCAAGAAGATAGTCTTCTTTCACTTAACACTTCTAAAACCACATACATGTGTTTTAGTAAAACTAGTGTTTCAAGTCCTTCGAGCGATGTTGGATTACAAGTAAACTTAAATAAATGCAATAGACAACCACATTACGAATACCCAAAACTCAACAGGTCCAAAATTGTGAAATATTTAGGGATCACTGTCGACGGAAATTCACAGTGGACTCCACATATCAAAATCATATCAAACAGAATAAGGAAACTCATATATGTTCTAAGTCATTGCGTCAGGTGGCAGATTCTAAATTACTGATACAAATTTCAATGCGCTTTGTTAATACGAGTATGTCATTACTTATGGGACCAATTCATGGGGTGGGGCAGACAAAACGTACCTAATAGATGCTGAAAGAGCACAACGAATTGCGCTCAAAGTGTTATTTTTCCTTCCGTATAGACATTCCACAACACTGCTGTATGAAAAAGCACAGATACTTAGTGTGAGAAAATTATTTATATACCAATGTATCAGAAGATTCCATAGGTATTCTGCACCCAATGAACTTGACATTAAAAACTTTAATAGAAGAAATAAAAAACTATTAAACGCAAAACAAATTAACGCTAAAAGACAATTATTTTACCTTGCGCTATTACTATACAATAAATTTAACAAAATTTGTATTAGTAAAAGCTACAAAAACCAGCAAATCAAAAGTAAAATAATTAATTGGCTTAAAACAGCGACTGAATGTCTATTAACCTCTAATATGTAAATGTAATTGTAATCATTATTAATTCAGGCAATCATGTAAATCATTATTAATTCTGGAAATCATACAAATTTAAAAATACAAAACTATACACGCACTCTCTCTCTCTCACACACACACGAACACACACACACACACACACACACACACACACACAAATCACTTCACAGGTTTTTTCGTGATGCGTGTTCAGACAGACGTCGTGTTTTTTTTCTGACTTATCATTTTATTTTGGCTAACTGACACAACATCTTTATGAATTATAGATTATACATACATATGCGCTATATAATTGTAAAGTTTCATTAAAATCCATTTAATACTTTTTGCGTGTAGGAGTAACAAACATCCATACATCCTTACAAAATTTAACGTTTGTAATATTACTAGGATTAGATTATAATATTTTATGTGTAACGTATTCTGTTTCCAGAAAATGCAGGAACAATATGTCTGCCAGTTATGAAAAGCTTACGTGAAATGGATTTATATGGTGAAACAGCTACAGTTGCCGGTTGGGGCACTACTGAGAATAATCAAAATTCTGATGTTCTACTTAAAGTTGAAATACCCATATTCTCTCCCGAAACATGTGGAGCTTATTATAACAGGTGACGATAAATTTAGCTCGATATATTTTTAAATTGTTTGAGCGTAAGAGCTCTCGTAAAGGATCTTTGCCTTATATGTAGTATGGAGTAGGTCACCATTTTTAAATGTCTCGTAAGAGGCGACAGAGGGAAACCAACCAGGATATAGGCAGCAGTCTTCCTAAAATCGCCGATACGCCTGCAAGCGTGGCAACTATAGCAAATAGGAATGTCTAAATTGGACAGAGGACTTTTGATAGGCTGTACGATGATGATCATTTTAAATCGGTAAAACCCTCATCTATGTCTGCCTCCAAGCTAAAATGTGAATACATTTGATATCTTATTAATATACTAATTACATATTGCTGATTGACTACTTCGTTGATCTTGTGGTTGTAGCAGTGCGACTGCTCATCATGAGGTCCCGGGTTTGAGTCCCGGGTCGGGCCAACAAAAAAATGGGCATATTATACGGCATGTTGTTTTCTTCAAGCCTTCTAGTTACAGTTGTGATGCAGTCTTCAATAGGTAAGCACGTAAACTGCACGCAGAAACTGATAATAGTGTCATTGTCTTTTAGATGTAGGTCTTTAATCTCGCTGCCAAAATATTAAGAATTCTTCGTGTGTGCTCTTTTATGACCCCTGAGGGGTGAGAGTATTTTCGCTAAGTGTTGAGCCAATCTGTAAGTCGGTGAATCGGCTTGTGTATTTTTGGTAACCCATACCAACTTCGACGGTTATATCAAAAATAGTGACTAGATAAAGTCCAATTGTATTTCTTATGGACCAGTGGTAAATAAAATAATGACTTTCAATAAGTATTATGTAATAATCCATATTGAATAAAAATCATTCTATTCTATTCTATTCTATGGGCATAATATTTTTAATGGTAATTCCACATCAGTCTGCTGTTGTTTTAATAATATCTATATTTAATGATATGATTTGGAAATACTCTACGGAATTTAATTTATTGCATAATCTTTTATATTTAGTTTAAACATAGAAACACAGAGCTTTTCCATTGAGTTTCAGCGCAATAGGAGAAGAGTTTAAAGATTTTGTTGTCAAAAAAGGAATATCAGTGAAATGTTTCTCAAAAGCCGCAGCAAATTCTTGGTCAGATTGAGTCAAATTATTGCTAATATTTAATTGAACATACGCTCGTTATGTATGTATGTATTTATGAGTGTAATATAGTTACAAAATTTCGTCTAACCCATTTCTGAACGTCTGAATAGTCTGAAATAGAACAAAACAGACGTATGATAAACCGATGACTTTACAACAACTTCATAACCTAGTTAGTATTCTCAGTGGGATCATCACAGCTCATGATCAATACGTATTGTCAAAGATTTTTAAACTACTATTATTTCATATTTTGTCAATTATACTAAAGATTAATTATAAAGCCTTTTTACATTATAGAAATCAAAGAACTGATCCTACTGGCAAGTTGAGACATAGACTATGTGCCGGCGAGACCGGTCGAGATTCGTGCCAAGGCGACTCCGGCGGTCCCCTCATGCTTGAAGGCGAATACAATGGCACAGACAGATATATCCAATTTGGTATCGTGTCTTACGGTCCGTGGCAGTGTGGTTTAAATGCCCCAGCCATATACACAGATGTCAGAAAGTATATGAAATGGATTTTAGATACTATCAAACCATAGAAAAGATAGAAAAAGTATTTAAAGAAGATAGAAGATCACAATCTAATCTTGCAAGAATCGCAGAAGAAAGCTTAAGAATTTAGATTTAAATAACGTTTATAACTGTTCTGCGAACTTCGATGATGTATTTTATCACATAAAATAAATCAATGTACATGTATTTTATTTTTTTTACTTTATTTTTTATATTTTTACGCTAAGAAGTTTGGGGTGAATAATTTTTAACCAAAAAAGGATTGACTTACCTAATTTCATTACAAACAGTAACGTTGATGAATGAATGTATGATTGATATTTTTTTTATAAAACTGAAGTGACAAACGAACTTAAAGTCCAACTTTCAGACTGTAAATTCGTTTGTCTACTGCAGTCCATGGACACCTGCCACGGTGAAGTATGAGCAGATAAATATCATCATCATTGTTGAATATCAAGCTCCACTTGTGCTGGTGGAATTCTTGACTGAAATAAGAACTTCAATATGTAGACTGTATAGGTAATTTATTGGTTGCTATAACAGAGGTAGCCGTAATGCGTGCGTTTGCGACCGGGTTGTTGGTGCCGCGTTGTGTCCATGAAGGTGGTGGGGCCGTGAAGCGCCCGCAAAACCGGTTTGAGGTCCGCCGCCCGACGACACGAGCCGGAGAGAAGAATAGGCAGTGACGTCAGGAACATATTCAACGGGTTGAAGCAAGAAGGCTTCAAGATGACGCAGGAGACACTGGAAGAGGGCAGATGTTATTAAATGCTCTTGTGATTGTTCCCCTTGTGGTGAAGATGTCAGCAACTCTGGTGTGAGCATCCGATCCTGGTCTTATGGCGATCACTCTACCCATCAGCCAAAGAAGAGGGGGTTGATTGACGTCCTTCACTAAGACCACGGTGCCTGTCTTCAGATGTTGATCAGCGGTCTTCCACTTCGTTCGCTGTGGTAAGGTAGTAATATACTCGTTAGAAAACCGGTGCCAGAAATGCTGCCGAAGCTTTTCGACTCGCTGGTTCGAAGTTGCTGTTAGCGATTTGAGGATGCGGAACTGATTTAAGTGGTTGTCCAATCAGGAAGTGAGAAGGGGAGAGATAGGCAAGATCAGAAGGATCTGAGGATAGAGGGGTCATAGGTCTGGGATTTAAGATGGCCTCTATCTGACTCAGACACGTCGAAAGTTCTTCATAAGTTAGATGAGTAAGACCAAGAGTACGACGTAAAAGATGTTTGGTTGACTTTACTGCTGCCTCCCAAATGCCCCCGAAATGAGGTGAATAAGGTGGTATAAATTTAAAATCTATACCTTGGCTTGTAATGTCTGACTCTATATCATTGTAAGGTAAAAATCGTGTAAGTTCGTTGAAAGCTCCTACAAAGGTAGTTCCATTGTCGGAGTACACACGCTGAGGCTTGCCACGACGTGCGACAAACCGACTAAAGGCGGCAAGAAAAGACTCCTTTGTTAGATCGGAGACCAACTCCAAGTGGACGGCTCCAACTGCAAAGCACACAAAAACACAAATATATGACTTCTATAGTTTACGACCTCTGCCTTTACGATCCGCTATTAGCACTGGCTCGGCAAAATCTAAGCCTGTGGTTAAAAATGGCAAAACAAGCTGCGTCCTATCACTAGGTAGGTTACCCATAATGACCTGAATAGGCTTGCCTTTTACGCGAGTACATCGAATACAAGTTCGTACAATTTGTTTAGCTAAGTTTCTACCACCGAGCGGCCAATATATTAGTCTTATATTTGCTAAAAGTAGTTGAAGTCCTGCATGAAAGAGAGAGAGGTGGTACGATTTAAATGTTATTTTAGGTGAGGTGATGTTTACCACAGAGTAATATAGGATGCTTTATATCGTAAGTGTAGTTAGAGTTCTGAAGGCGTCCGCCTACACGTAATATGTTACAAGAATCAATAAAAGGAGAGAGACTGACCAATCTATTTTTACTGTGTAATATTTTATTACATTTAAGAGTATTATATTCTTCAGGGAACATTTCCTGCTGATCACATTGTATAAATAGATTTTGTGAACGCTGTAATTCTGAATGAGACAAGTGAGATAAAATTTGTTATTTGCAAATCTGCAATTATGAATAAACCTATTGACATAGGCTAAGGTTCTGATTAATTTGGTAAATGATGAAAGTTTGTAAATTAAATGGGTTATTTCATTGCTCCTGCAATCTATTACATTATTTTTGACAAAAGTATGTAATGAAATTTCAGTTAACGTAATATTTTGACTATTGGGACATGTTGGAATTTAAATGACGGGGTTGTGAAGAAAATCTGGACCAGACCACCAAAGTTTAGACGCGCTGATAGTATCAGCCTTCACCCCGCGGGATACGAGATCTGCAGGATTCAGTTTGGTAGGCACGTAGCTCCACGTCTGGCCGATCGTGGCTTCATGCACCTCAGAAACTTTGTTACGTACAAAATTATTAAGTCCATGCACAGAAGACACGGAGTCTAACTCCGAAAGGCGTGTAAGCTGTTCAGACTCTTCTTGTGACGTAAAATGACACAAAGAAGGCCGAGTACAAGGAGGCGTTTGATACACAGCCTGAAATAAGCCAACCCAGTTTGGATGAGTGAAGCTTGGGTTGGTTTTTACCTAAACTTATAAAATTTGAAACTAAGATTTCCCAAAAGACTTCAGCGCCTACGAGAATATCGACGGCTGAAGGTAAATTAAAGGTAGGATCCTGGCGGTATAGATATTTGATGCATATCTATATAAGAGCTAGGCAGTGAATTTGTAATTCTAGGTAGAATGTAACAGTCAATGCTCGCCTGATAACCATCAAAATAAGACTGAATATGCAAGTTACAGGTCTCTGAGGCACTTGAAGTCTGACTGTTAATACCTGAGATTCTGGAGCTTATGTTGCGCCTTACCAAGCCGAGCTTTTCATACAGGTCGCGGGTGATGAAGTTTGAAGTACTACCATTGTCCAAGAGGAGTCGGGCAGTATGAAGGCCTCCATTGACGTCTGACACCTTTGCCAATGCTGTGGAAACCAATACAAGCGCTTGGTTATTGTAAGAAGGATTTTAAGGAGAAGAAATAATATTTGTAGAAAGTACTACACTATCTACTGTTGGTTTTGTTTGTACTATCTCCCTATGTAAGAGGGTATTGTGTTTATATTTGCAGTATTTGCAATGAGAAAGTTTGCAGGGCTTATATGTATTACCTGGTCGAAGGCAATTCATGCAAACCTCGCTCTCAGAAGCCTTTTAATGCGTGATTCAATATCTAGATCTCTAAAGGCTTGACAATTAAATAAAAAATGATCCTCAGAACACAAAGGGCAGGCAATGTTCTTAGGCAACTTATGTGTTGTTGTGTGAAAATTTTTATTTTTTGGTGTAGAATTGTTAGAAGAAGTTATAAAAGGTTTTGAAAAATTGTTTTTATTATTGTCTAAAGTTTCAAGAAGATCAATCAGCTCTATTAGTCAAAAATTAATAAATTGCTCTAAATTTGGTAATTTGCGTAAATTTTAATAATTCTTCCCACTGACGACTAGTTACAGGGTCCAATTTTTTAAACATTATGTATATAACAATTGTGTCCCAGTGTTCAGTAGGTTGACCAAGAGCATAAAGAGCCCTTAAATTTTTATTTGTAGCATCCACCATATTACGCAGCAACCTACTACACTCTCTTTGTATGTTCGAAAAGTTAAAAAGAGCCAGCAAATGATTATTCACCAATAATCTCTCATTATCGTACCTCTCGCACAATAATTCCCAAGCAATGGAATAATTCGTGGCTTTAAAGTCAATGCTCTTTATAATTAAAGATGCACTGCCTGCCAAGGCAGCACGGAGGTAATGAAATTTATTAATATCCTGTATACTGCTGTTATTGTGAATAAGAGAAATGTACGTATCTTTAAACTCGATCCAGCGCTGATAGTCTTCGTCGAAATGAGGCAAGTCTATCTTTGGTAGTCTGACGAAGTCGTGCTTGCAGCCAGAGGCGACTGTGCGGGTACTATCATCACTGAGGGACGCAGTGGGCATCACAGCAGGCGTCAACTTCGAGAGCAGCGCGCGAGCTGGGGATACCTGCGCATAATATTGCACCTCGAACTGCTCCCGCTTTAAGTACGCGGCGTCATTGTCCTCCGACAGTAGCTCCTACTCTATCTGTAACACGTCATATTCACCGTAAAGTGATTCTGTTTTACCAAGACGGAAATCCGATTCCGCTAACTGAGAAGGGCTTAAATTGGTGCAAGGCTGAATTAAATTACAAAAAGTGGCAAAATGAGTAAGCTTTGCTTTTAAGCTTCCACGTCTTCTTAACTAATTCTTTCAATTTAGCGTCAAACATTATTCTAAAGAAGTCTTAATATACAATTCAAATACTATGCAATTTTTCAATGCAATAGAAAAGGCAAAGCGTAACAGGTGGCTAAGAAAGCAAAAAAAGGCGGCCAGATGTTACTTTGCAAGTGATAAAAATGGTATAATTAATAGAATCAGGCGTTACTTTGCGGAAATCCATTATATAAAAGCTTGTAGAAAAATTTGCTTCGCAAATATCCGCGTTATTAAATAAAATGATGTGTCTTACCTAGTATGAAGAGCACCACGCGCTTTCCCTCAATTGCGTGCACTATCCCCGTCACCACTAATCCCAGCACCGCTACTCCCAACACCACTACACTAGGCAAGACACACCACTGACGATAATACGACACGTGTTTCGCCTCTACACGAGGCATCCTCAGGTGATATAGACTCTACGGTGGCTAATCGCGAAGTGAGCGGCGAGCCAAAACAAGTGCCTTTTATACAGACCGATGACGCAACCGCTCTCTACTTAAGGAGCGAGCGACTGCGTCATGAGATAAAACATGCGACCAATCACCGCCGGACTTACGCAGCCGTTTGTAAAATTAAAAACAAACCGCCGCGCAACGCCCACCCACCAACCACGCAACCAATCGCCGATCACCGTGAGGGTGAAAAACGACAATATTG